GGAGGTGATGAAGGGCAAGAGCTCCTCTAAGTGTATGATCGAATGAGGACTTGTTGTCACGGTTTCGAGGGACAAGTGCTGGGGCAACTATGTGGTCGATGGTAGTAAATAATAATTCTAAGGAGAGAAATTCCACTACATCTATCTATTCATTTATATACGTGAAAGCCTCCTCGCCACCGAGGCTAATCCCCCTCCTGTTCCTATGCTGTGGGACTCCCCTGGTGTTCTAAATATACCTGTAATACAGTACTATCGTGTTATGGTCCGGAGGGATTGTACTCGGTCTCGTATATTCCCAGTCAGTGTAAGCCTATCAACATGTGGTGCAGTGCCGTACTGCCGTGCCGCACTGCCGGGTCTGATGCCATGTGAATACCATGCAAATGCCGACGCAATAGTATTGTATTGGGTGGCGTCGCACATTAGCGAATTGGTATTGATTAACTAAGCCACTCGAATTAGGCCTAAGTTAACCAACAATGGCTACAGGGACCAATCGGCTTACCAGCCGTTGCACTTGTGAGGGGTGGTACTGTTCGAGGAGAGCTGTATGGGAGGCATGGGATGGGATATACTACTAGCATAGGTATCCTCGGCCTGTAGGCAGAGAGGACCTGCATGTCCAACATAGTCATAGACTCAGACAGGACAATAAGATGAATTAAAAAGAAAAGAAAAAATGAGTCTATTACTATCTAGAATATTGGGCTCCTCTCTGACCCAGGCCGCACCTTGTACAGCGCTCCTATCCTCTTTTGTTACTTGAAAGATCATTGATATATTCCCCTCGATCAATAGCCATTCAGCTCAGTATTTACCCGTGGAATTCGGCCACACTTTCCATGGAACCTTCTACCCAAAAAAATCAAAATCGTAGCAATGGAAACTGCGTGCGCGGGAAAAAGACTCGAAAAACCTGCAGGCCCAGCCAGACGAGGCCCAGCCAGACGAGGCCTAGACATCGGGACCACACGAGGTGCGCATATTCATCTATATCTCCCTTCTTTGTAACAGTCGAGGTCAACTTGATCCAATCCGCCATTTCCGCACCGGGTGCTGGGTACGCTCCAGAAACTCGTCGGATGGCTTTTCCTCCATGATCAAGGGTTGGTGATGAGTAGGGCTCCGACCCTACCATCTGATCTGATCGTGGTTAGCTTCATGATAGTGGTGATAGGGGAATGTGTTGAGAGATGAAGACGATACAGACCGCGAAAGCCATTGGAGATCCTCATCGAAGTGAGGGCTTTGTTACTCAATCTCGGCTCTGCAGACTCTATAGTGAGAGCTGGAGGTTCATAGGGGACACCACTGATAGGTGTTGAGAATAGTCCCCCACCTCATGGTGGTATTTGCAAACATAATGTAGAGTATAGGTGTTTCTTACGTCAAAAGAGTCATGCAACATGTATACATGGCACTGATCATGTGTCATATCTATATATCTGAATATAATTTGAGTAATATGAGAGGATAGATTTTATATGCTTTGGGGAGTTTAGGGTCTATACTGCTACACAGGTCTTCTTGTTGTCAGGAGTAGTCAATAGCTGTTAGACACTGAGGGCCAATTGAAAAATGTAAAGTAAACTTGTATTGATGAAATCTCTGCTCCTCAAATCCTCTCCGGCCTTGATGCTATATACCCAATCTGAAACTATTTCCGGGAGAGAATATCTTCTCCTCGTTTCCCAAAATTACATATAAAATATATAATATGTTTTGGAGATCAAAAGATCTCAAGTTGAGGTTTTGAACATCCTGAATATCCTGAACATCTTGAACACCCTCATCACCATATCTCTGGTGAGATATTAAAGCTCGAGTAAGTTAATCCGGGAAGATATGTCATCCCAATATCCCATGATTCTCATTACTATATTCAGTAGGTTTCAAGCTATCGGATTTTTGACAATAACTTAATGGCGTTATCGCAAGCCATCCAATTCAGTTCTCGTACGAGAATCCGGCAATCCTTAATTCCACTTCACTCGAGACGATAGATAGATTTTCCAACGCATGTTTTTTAGATTCTTTTTTGGTTAAATTTAATAAAAGACTTTTCTTCCGCAATTTTACACGGCATCTGACTGCATATCGGTCCCAGTAATATGCTCAGGTAGGAATGTTTGTGTTGGAAATGGAGACACAGAATGTTGTGGAAGTACGGGCCCTCCATTTCGTCTAGGTTCCCGACACGATCTTGTGTGTATTTGAGAGGTTGGAATGGTTGATATGTTAGCGCTTCAAGCCACCTATTGGATACATGAGCGGTATTTTTTTTTCTTTTTTTAATTCAAAGTGTATTCATGAGCGGCTGTATGGCGTGAGCACGAGAAGGTTATTGGGGGTTTTCTATGTCTAGATGGCGCCACAATCGTTTGTGCTGTGGCTTAGGCTCTGTGTCGCTTACACTTGTACTCGTAGCGCAAACTTCCCACTCTTTTAGCTGTAATCCGATCATGACACTCCCTTAGTCAACTTCCACTATCGTTCCATAAGTATTGCGCCCATTTCATTGCGCAATATTTCCAACAGTTTGCAAAACGATTTCGCTCGAAAAGCTAACATTCAATTATAAATCATCAACATTATTAATGTATTGGGAGGGAGATAGTCTCTGCCTTTGCCTGATAGATAGAGCCCAGCTGGCGACGAATATTGAGATTTATAGCATGGGAAAATTCCTTGAACGACAGACAATTAAATAACTTTTGCTGGTTCCATTATAATGTAAGCTAGATGTTCATCCAGCGTCTATTTCCCCCATGGTTGTGTGTATTAATTTCAAATTGACGCATTGAGGATCAATTTTGGAAAATTTTCTGACAATTAGAACTTTAAAATCACACTAAAATTCAGCCGAATTTGCCACTAGTCGGCGTAATCTTCTGTAACCTGCATTGAAATTTACATGGGCTTAGATGACCATATTTATGGTGCTGGATAGCTCTAAACAAGGGACGCTGTGGGGAAAGGTGGCCAAAGTAGATTGGTGTTTGAAAATATGAATTTCTGTTTATGGATGTGCATAACCATGGAAGAGTATATCTGTAATTGTAAAAATAAGGAGACAAGACGAGTGTGTTATAGATTGTCATGGAGGTGGTTGTAGATAGATAACAGGTTCGTAATGTTCAGATGACTGAAGGCACAGACGTACCGGTAAAGTGGTAGAGCCTACCACCATTTGATTATCTTTGGATGTGAGCGTGACTGCGTTAACACTGACAAAGTTAATTACGTTGGCAAACGGCCTAAATCGTTCGCTTTTATTCAAGTCACACCATAACAGAGGGTTGGATGAACTTTTCTGGCCATAGCTGACTCACAACTATTAAACTGGCCTAATAGCTGGAATCGCATAGCTTTGCGGATGATAGAGTATCAGCTTGGCTTATCACCGTACAAATGAATGTTTAGTTGTTGGCTTCGGCTCAACGTCGGTCCCACCACCGGTATAAGCAGGGACCTTGTCCATAATCCTCTACTAGCGCCATTGACAGGGCTGTTCCCCCGCTAAAACATGATTTGTGCGCAGAAAATTGAAGGGAGATATATCACATGACCCTGATTAATGAAATATTCCAGGGCATGCAAATAGCCGTATAATGGTTCACATCCTTTCAAAATTTCCACACCCAGTACAACTAACAAATCTTCAAGAATGACGACATCCACTAGATCGTTGAAAGCTGTCAAAGCACCTTCTGGTAACTCTTATTTCGAGAACAGCTTTTCCCCTTTATGATGGTCGTTTAGAGATGCTGATGAAAATTACGGGTGGTGATTATCGTTGGGCCTCATGTTACTGATAGATGATGCAGGATCATAACTCTTTTCTACTCATAGCCCCTGTCTACTTTTCATGCCACTAGTTGAAGATCAATCATGTTATTGATTTCATTCCCTCAACTGGAGCAGCGCCGACCTTATTCAAGGCTGTATTCTCAAGAGCTTGATACCTCGGCGCACGGTTATCCACATCTAGTGTTCTACATAACCATGGAAGCCACATGACCTTGCCTGATTTGTCCTGTTATCCCACAGATTCATGTATAAAATCTTTCCTTGCCCTGACCAGTAGACAGATTAAGGGGCGAGTGGTACCGCAGTCAAGGTCAGGACGAGTACAAACAAATGCACGTTTTGTACGCCCTGGGTAGACCAGAGGGGCAGGAACTAGTCTAGCTTGTAAACTACGGGCAGTCAGACGCCTGTCCGGCTCCAAGCGCTGAACACTAACCTGAGACAGGAAAAGAAGGGTCCGAAGCGCCCTTCAGCGAAAGCAGTAGCATGGACAGCCCTTGGTCCGATCAACCTGAGCCGTAATCGCATAACCCATGTAGCCACGAAGCGCCCATTAAACCTCTATTAGCAGCAACGCGTCTTGCGTCATATGCCCCAATGCAAACTGGTCCTCGCGGTCGGTATGGAAAATAAAAGTATTAGTCTCAACTTGTCTATCCCTACTCTTCGATATTACCAAGGTACGAATTATACCTTGCGAATCTTCTTAAAGCAACCCTTCATTTGGCTTCCAACATTATGAGGCCCATGGACGCCACATGCCCACGGTCGCTATTTTCCTTTCACTATCAGCCCCGCATATGTGTAGCCGCCCTATGCTCATGTCTCTCTCGTCCGACTGCTGCATCTATCCGCACTATTCTAGCCACTCCTCTTATTTCTTCAGGAAATCTTTCACCTTCTACTTAAATGATTCGAAGCTTGTGTCGGATCAAATGCATTCTTAACGCGTGCGCCTGTCACAAGACTCAAACTCCTCTCGACCCATTGATGCCTTAGTATTTCTAGACGCAGGAATATTTGCAACTGACTACATTACTCGGCTTTAACCTTCCATCTTGCTCAGGCTTAAAAAGAAAAAGGCTCGGAAACAATACCCTTTTTTTGGCAGCAACAGCATCACTTCTCTTGCTTAAGATGAGCAAGAATACCACTTGGATCTTATCAATCTATTGAAATCATGAAAGATGGCTCAATCACAACCGTCGAATATTGGCTTTGGCTTCACTGAGAAAGATTACCCGCGACCATTTGATAAATCATCAGAGATGACTCAAACAAAATCGACAATGATCCAGAATATGACATATAATACTGAGTCGCTTATACATCCTACAAATAATCTTCAAAGTCCAACATTTGCTGAAGAGCAAGTATTGTTCAGTAAGGAGGAGTCCACGGCAAAAGAACAAGCTAGGGATCTGGTATGTCGAGGTAAGGCTTTAATGGCCGCCTGCAATCGCTAACCTCACGTGCGCAGAAGGTCAAGATGATAGTCCGTGTGGCAAAATTTGTGATCCGAGGAGTCAGCTTCAGCTGTAGTCTTGTAGTTCTTACCATGGTTTCTTTAGCAATCTCAGTCTTTAACGTCACCAAACATCTTCCGCCTCGGAATCATCTTCCTCCCTGGGCTACCGGTACTAAGACCTGGCCACAAGTTCTTGTGCTAGCCATCTCTTGTACATCGCTCTCTTTTTGTATTATTATATTCTGGAGCTATTATCGTGGAGGGCATAGAAGAGCCGAAAAAGTTGCTGTTTACTATACCCTCTTTGCCATTGCGTTCTTTATCTTAAATACAGTCATGTGGGCTGTTGCGGCTGGTATCCTTCAGAGCTCTAGAAGCAGTGGTCAAAATAAAGATCTATGGGGCTGGTCATGTGTAGATAATAAAAGAAGGCGTTTATTCTCAGAGAAAGTCGACTACGTCCTTATATGCAAGATGCAGGTAAGTTACGCCGCAAATTCAAGTTGAAGTAAATCATTGACAATGTCTAGAATTGGGTTATGGTCTGTTGCATCATTGAGATAGTTCTTGAAAGCATAACTATTCTCCTCTACACAGTTATATTTTATCGTTACTATACGAAACAGCGTCTCCGAAAATCTATGGATGTTCGCGACCGCGCTCGTGCCGATTTAGTACTAGCGCAAACTCGATGTCAATCGAATTCTAATCCTTCTAGTCTTAAACCGCCCTTACAGTATCAAGATCCTAATACGCCTCGTTCACCACTTCCGTTACTTCAGACTCAGTTTATGACCAAGGAGGGCGTCTTCTCTAATGATACTCGTTTTGTAGAGGTTTCACCGCACTCGCCTATCCCCGCGAAGCCTTTTTATCTACAACCCGTCCCTAACAAGGGTCTTTCAACCACACAGATGTGCTCACAGCCTAATATCGAGCCTACAGTACTTTCCCCCTATCGTCAAACAGGTCTACCTAATGAACAGAAGTATAGTTCTGTCTCCATTCCTTGTGCCTATACAATGCCTCATGCATTTCAGTCTCTTCCGTAGAGAAAGAATATATCACTTTTGAAAAACAGCGCCTATTACTCAAAAGAGTTTAATACGGTTCTGCAACTTCTAGGTTATGGATTTAATTCATATTTGTAAAATCGTAACTCTTTAGTCTACACAAAGATCAAAGTCACAAGAGACTTCTGAAATAATTTCCTGTATCTAATAATAATTACTCACACGGTATCAGTATTCGACATTTATTTTGTGTTGATGTCGCAGAAGTTTAAATCACGTGATAACATCCGGTCAGGTGACAATAGCTCAACCAATGTTATGGTTTGACTTGCTAGGCCAGTGGTACTATCCGCATTTCTACTGGAGCTTCAGAACGAGTTGGACTGAGCAGGATCAAGTTAGATACTTTGTTAGTTCATGAAACTCGCCCCACCTGAATGACTAGACCACTTCAGATTTCATCAATGTGTATTACTATTTCATTTTATTGTTATTTCTGAGTCTATGACTATGTAGGACATGCAGGTCCACTCTGCCTACAGGCCGAGGATACCTATGCTAGTAGTATATCCCCTACCATGCCTCCCATACAGCTCCCCTCGAATATTACCACCCGTCACAAGCCCTCATTCGCTTATACATATAGGGGAGCCCTCGGCCCTTCATTATCTCCCCTCTCCAGCCAACGAAACAATGGCCATTTTCGGGTGTATGGCAGCCGGGAAAAATCGCAAAAACCACTAGGTGCGGGGCTCTTCTAATACCGAAATTAGGACTAGATCCGAAGACATAGTGATCCTTCCGAAGCGTTCGAAGAGGCCGGCCAGCTGGGCGCTGCAGAATTGCGGGTACCTCGGGAAATTCACTCTCTGCCTTTCTATCCTCCTTCCAACTCCTTCCCGAAGGCCGTGCTGAAATTTCAGAAAAGTCTTGACAAGGCGTGATTGCTGTATGGTAGCTTAGGCCAACCTCTTTTGTGCCGTTGGCTCATCGACAAGAGAAGTCCTGCTGGCTAACTTGCCGAAACATTGGTCTTGGCGCTCACAAACGTTTCAAAGTTGAAAACTCTTCGAAAATGTCAGTCCCAATACGGTCTTCAGAGACCTCTTTCCCCTCTCGCTCCACATCTCAGGCGCCTGTTCTTCCTCAAGTTGCTTGACCCAATCGAGCAACAGTCCCCCATAAGCCAAGATCCAGGCTTTGTATTCTTCGACTTGATTTCCCCCTTGCGGATATAAATATCGTCGTGAGTATGTAGTGAGAGATGGCTGGAAATTAATGGGGCAAGCTCCCGTATGCAATTGAAGCAACTTCTTTATTGGTCGAGGCGAGATGACGCGCGTTTAGAGAGAGGTTGAGGACTCAGATGAGAATGAGAAGAGAGGCATTTTCGAGAAGTCGTCAAATGGAGATATGATAGAGGTTGCTTTCAACTTCGATTCGGATGCGATTCTTCTTGGCTATCCCAGATATGCAGAGCATACTGAGCCATTACACCGGCACCACTGGAAACTGAAGAATTCGTCTTTGCCGGCCGCGGCACCACGTTCCATGAACATTAATACATCGTTTTCATAATTGTTACCATCCTGATCAGTCCTTCGTATCTGATTCCCCAATTATTTTCACGTTGCGCTTCGGCATGGCGAGTTGGAGAGTCAGAAAGGTGGATTTCACGGCTGAAAAAAAATTTCACGACGCCACCATCACCACCAAAGGACAGTGGAACCGCCGCAATTACGGCTGTAGAGTCTCTCGCGATCTCTATAGGCGTCAACATGGATACACTAAAGACAGTAGGGCTTTATCTAAGTAAGTTCAGAGATAGACTGGTGATAGCAGGCACTGACAAATCTGCAATACCGATGGTCGAAATAGGTGAGGCACTCGATGCCTTCTAAGCCCACGCTACGATGCCACAATCGAAGCTGAAGACTTCACAAATGGTGGACGGATGCTGGTCTTAGAGAAGACAGTCACGAAGAATCTCGAGGAGCCTTCGCGCAAGACGGTTACTTCGGCATTACAAGGGATTGGAGGGCGAACAACATACGCCTCAATCGTCGCACCACCAGCGACTAAAGCGGCAGTCAGAATAAGAATATGAGGAGTAGATAACATAAAGCCGGCAGAGCTCCTAGACAAAGCAAAACTACACATTGAGGGGGCATACGCGGTAGGGAAGCTGCGGAGCAATGATACGGAGGTTTTTGTGCAGTCGGTCTCCCAGCGAGACGCTGCCTTGAGTATGGCGCAGCCGAAGGAGTTCTGCGTCCTGAAGCAGGATTACCCTGTTGAGATATTGGGGATTCCCTTTGGGACATTTAGAAGAGGAGGAAATAATCCAAACAATGGCGAATTCATTAATCAAGTTGTGGCGGAAACAAAAGTTCGGATCCCCGAACTTAAATTCAACAGGGTAAGATGGCTCTTCGACGGAAAGGAGCACCAATGGATGGGAAGAAACGGCCATACTCGAAGATAAATCGTCAAGAGTTTGCCGATAGAGGCACTTCATCGCGAAGTGATAAGAAATGGTATTGTATACAACTCAATGTTATACACGGCCCAGCTCTGGTCACCCCGAGTGCAAATCAAGCAGTGCTTTAACTGCTATCAATGGGGGCATAACCAAGCCACTTGTAACAGGGCAAGTAGATGTAATGAGTGCGTGGGCACTCACCTGATGTTACTGTTTGACCGTTATTTGAGCTTAAGTGAATACCTAAGCGTATTGTTGAGAATGTTTATGACGAGGCTGCATGGGGGGCATAGATGAGGCTGAACAAGGCGGCACTACTAGTCAGGAGGTCGAAGCGTTACTACAATAAAGTAACACCTGGCAATGCGTGGCTGGGTAGCAAGTATTGTGCCTAAGGATAAGTCATCAGTCTGGAGATTGACGAAGGTGACCAATTCTTATAAATACCTGTTAGTCGTAGCCAGAGCTTTCTTATCTCCTCATATAGTTTAATAAATCGATTTATCCATTACCAACTCGGTTTACGTCACACCAGACTAGGGAATGCCGGAGAAAGTCGGTGCCACGCTGTAACTGCGGTAAGGACCATATATCTGGGCAGAAGGGGGCGTGTCAAAACTTCGCATCATGCAAGGCCAGCGTCGAACAGGCACGGTATGAGCTAATGGAGAGAGTGGCGGAATTCAGGAAAGAGGAGACAATGACAGCGGCATCTTAAAAAACAACTACGGCAAAACCTACAGACGACCAAGGACTCACACTGGTGTTCTACTAAAAGCCGGAGGTACTTAAGAGAGGGCCAGGACGCCCGCGCAAACAGCTCCTGGTCAATTCACCACCACAAGTATTTGGATCATCGGGGTCAAGTTCAAGACTACAGTCGTCTCTTTTCAGCACGCGAGGGCAGGGAAAGGATGGCGAGGCCCATTATAATTTTGGCTAGTACTATCTCGGACTCAAGGCCATGTGCACTTCTTGTAGGTAACGAAGGACTGTTCATGAATATAAAAGTTAATAGGAAGAGGGAGTTTTAATACATGGTTTCCTCATGTAAATATATAGATAGGTCCATAGCCGCCTGCATGGGCCCACAGGGTGCCAAATCGGGTTAGATGAATTCAAAATCAAGAAAAGGGATATTTCCATCTACTAGTGGCCGAAATTGCTTGGGTTCGGCTAGCGGCTTTCACCATTCTATTCCTTCTCCCCCGCGTGGCATCGCATACTGTAGAACTACTGCTCACCATGGAGTCCAAAGATTTAAATTGTTAGATTATAACACCTTCTACTCAAAAAAATTGTTGCAACGGAAACTGCGTGCGCTGGAAAAGGTCTCAAAAAGCTTGTAGCCTTAGGCAGGCGGGGCCTAGACACCGGGGCCACATGAGGTGCGGATTTTCATCTGCATCTCCCTTTGGAACATTCGAGGCCGCCTTGATCCAATCCACTATCTCAGTATCGGATACTGGGTACGCTCCGTAAACTCATCGCATGGCTTATCGCGATGATCAATGGCGGGTGATGAGTAGGAATTTGATTTTAACATCTGAATTGATGGTGATAGGGAATAGTGGTGAGATATGAAGACGATACAGACCACGAAAGCATTTGGAAATCTTCGCAGGACTGAGGAAAAAGTTGTTGCTATAACTCGGCTATGCAGGCTCTACAGTGAAAGCTGGAGGTTCGTAGGGTATGCCACTAATAGGTGGTGAGTTTCGTATTCCTCCAAAAAGTGTATACTATATCTCAAACCTATCTACGTAGATTAAATTCCTAATTTATGATGATTAGTGGAGAGTCTTATATAGTAATTAACCCCCGAAAACTCTTACCGAACGACATATTCTACACTGCGCATTTGTAGAATTAAATCGTTATTCGGCAATTTACGGAGACAGCGAGACGGTATTTTCAGAGGGAATTCAAGATCAGGATATTCAGTCCATAGAAATACATTGGTTGATGCTCTATCAGTTGTACTTAATAGAGGTAAATTTTGGTATATGGAATCTCATGCCACAAATCCGAAGAAAGCTACATTAACAAGTTATCACTTCTACCCACCCTACAGTCCAGTTTTATTCCGTCCCTATCACTAACCTACCCTCGTTTACTTTGAAACAACCTCCTTAGCTTTTGAGACCACGGTATCAGTCACGGATTCCGCATTGTTTTTTACTGACTGTAAACTGCTTTCAGCTTGTTGAGTTAGGAGTTGCTCTTTTCCGCCCCACTTGTGATATTGCATCCAACGGTATCCTTGCGTTAGTTGAGAACACTCATTGACTAAGTGGCATGCAAAGAGTAAGTAATTCTTTGGGGAAACGGCAAGCGAGTAGCGCATAAACGTTGCTGAGTAGATAGTGAGAGCGGCGGTCATTTGTCCCGAAATTCTATGAGCATTAACGCCAAGGTAGTTAGAGCAGGGCTAGTGATAAAAGACGGCCTATTGGGACACACGCACTGACACAAGAGAACAATGAAGGAGGACTACTTACAAATCCGGACTCTTCTGTGTGTCCATGACGGCGGCTATGGGAATTCCAAAGTTGGAGGCGGGACCCCAAAAATCTGTTTGTCCATGAGAGAATCAGCAAATACACGCTCTGTGAGAATCTTTCGAGCCAGATAAACGTACGTGTAGAACAGACATAATTCAGCACGGGGTGTGCTCGGATGCGGGAGTTGATATTTCGAAAGAATGCCGCCATCTTGGGTATCTGCAGTGATTATTAGGGCGTGGACGGCGGATTTGACTTAATCCTTAGCATCTCCCCCTACGCGCGCTAACTTCGAGTTTACGCGCTAATGAACTTCTAGTGTTCTTGGTACACCGCACGACTTGGATTTCAAAGGACAAGGAATGAACATCTGTTTGCGGCGTTCTTTACAAATCTGGAAGTGAAATACTCTCTCAGAGTAAAGTTCGGCCTACATCCACAATGCTAAAAAAGATAGCTCCCGAGGCAAAGATACGAGACCCTCCATCATATCAGTCTCCCTCCAACGAGATCGATTCCCACCAAAGCCTCATCAAGTTCACAAGTACGACCTATTACACCCTCATTTTAATCACCATACCTTTCGCCGAATTTATCTAGCCTCAGCTGTTCACCAAACACACGCTAAGGCCGATATTTATATCTGCCAGACGACTAAAATTGACACACAAACCCGAGGGGCATTTCTTCGGGATGAAAGTGAGAGAAGTCAAGACAAATTCACAAGATAACACCGAGGATGGATACAATCTCTACAGACTTGAGAGATCGTACTTAGGCAAGGAGTTTTCCGTACTGAAGAGCATTAAGCGCTAAGCTCTTGATTGTGGGTGAGCGGCTGATACTATAACCCAAGCCAACGATAGAAGGTGCCATGACCCGTCTCCTAGTAATCTCTTCTAGTATAACTCGAGCAGCCTAAGCATCTACTCCACATGGGAAAGAAAAGCCTCAGACCACATTTCGCGCGGAGACAAATAAATAAATGTTTGAGGCATATCTGGATAACACAGGGTTTTTGACACGTTCCCCTGGGTGAAAATTCAAGGATGAGGGCTGGCTTTGGGCCAGGCAAAAGTCACCATAATCTCGTCGTAACACTTGTGAATGAACTTCAAGGTATCAAAGCATTTATATACGGTTTCGTCAGCTATTCTCTGCTTTATCTCTGGTAATAAATCATACCCAGAAGACTGCATATACAATTAGATTATTGTGCAAAAAAAGGTATTACCGCAAACCGGTATGTAATCCATCAAATATCCTAATCAAACAGAGAAATGACTGAAATTGGAAATACCCGAAGCACCAAAATACGGGCGTGCCTACTTTGTTGTAAAGATTTTTTAAGCATACAACTGTCATTTTTCAGTCATCTTGTTTTATTAAAATTCATTGTCAATTTCTTATTGGTGTTTCTAATTTTAATTTCTCTTGTGTGCTGCCATGCACTTGGATATGTCCAAATATTTAAAAAGAGATTCCTTTCCTAAATTTGTTCGAAATTATACCTCACTTTGTGACTGTGCAAGACATGGAGACGAAACCTACCACCTACCAGTGCTGTACTAATTGAACCTTCAGCTCTCACTGGAAAGTCTGCAGAGCCGAGATTGAGTAAAAAAGTCCTCACTTCGATGAGGATTCAAAATTGCTTCCGCGGTCTGTATCGTCTTCATCTCTCACCAAAACCCCCTATCACCGTCATCACAAAGCCAAACATCATCGGATCAGATGTTAAGATCAAATTCCTACTCATTACCCGCCATTGATCATGGGGAAAAGCCATCCGATGAGTTTCCGGAGCGTACCCAGTATCCAATACTGAGATAGTGGATTGGATCAAGGCGGCCTCGAATGTTACAAAGAAGGGAGATATAGATGAATACCGCACCCTATATTATCCCGGTGTCTAGGCCTTGCCTGGCTGGGCCTGCAGGTTTTTTGAGCCTTTTTTACGCGCACGCAGTCTCCATTGCTACGATTTTACTTTTTTGGGTAGAAGGTTCCGTGGAAAGTGTGGCCGAATTCCACGGGTAAATACTGAGCCGAATGGCTATTCATCACGGGCAATATAATAGTAATGTTATAAGTAACAAAAGAGGACAGAAGCACTGTACAAGGTGTGGCCTGGGCCAGAAAGGAGCCCAATGTGCTAGATAGTCATAGACTCAAGTAGTACAATAAATCAAATATTCACTTACAAACTCGCTCACTTACGCTTGTGAAAGCTGGGCGCGTAACACATGATACTATATAGAGACATGACAGCAAGCCCGACTAGACTTGAGCCACTGAACAGAAGGCCATAGAGTCTTAGATTAAGATATATCATCTTTTTTTACGTTTTTCTGTAACCACCATCTATAAATCATGAGGTCTGGCAAGGGGCTAACATTTGTGTATATTTGAATCGAATGCAGGATGATTATATCCTGGGCTTCCATTGCTATGTTGAGTCTGAGTGGGCGCCCAGAGGTCGGGTAGTTTTATTTGGACTGGGCCAACCAGTACGTCAAAAGCTCACGTGTTGTGCGCCGGCACAACTTCAAGTATTGTAAATACATAAATATGTAATCACTTATCCAGCTTCATGATTACAGTGTAGGATATAGCAGTATATTCGAGGCCCCGTAATTGCTGCTGGCTATCATGATACGCTCGAAGCACCGGCTTTTAACGTATCTGTACCTCGGCCAAGAATACCAGGGTGTCGGTTTGAGACGCACCGCAAACATCGAATCAAGCACTACATTTCTCCAGCACCTAAACAAAGCAATCAGACTTAGTCTAGGGCTTAAGTACCTCCAAATTGAGCTCTTGTTCGGTTACTTGTCCTCTGAGGTTAATGGTACGGATGCGTTGGGGTAAGGCTGGAAATATTGACAATTCTCAAAGTTTCGAAGCTTATGATACTGGTAGATGGGAAAAAGATGAAGATGTAATAGATTAAGAAAATGGAAGTTAGATAGAAAGGGGAGCCAATGAAAAAAGCAATCCCTGGGCTAGGTAAACGCCGTGACTCGCAACAATGGAAAGCTAGAGACTATGGAGATTTGAAATTCTCGAGCGCGCCGTGGCCGAATTGGAGTTATTTGTGCTCCCACGCATCAGATTGGGTTCCCTTGGCGGTCGCACTTCGTATGAATTAAATATGAAGTCTAAGGCGGTTCGAGTATTTAGTTGGAATAAAATCCACATACCAGAACAGAATTAACCTACATAAACCCTTCCTCACTGTACTCAAGCTCGATAGAACTGTGAATGCATCCATTGGCCAAGGATAATAATCTACGATAGAAAACAAAAACTTAATAGGAGGAGACGCTATATTTAGACGAAGCTGAAAACTTTCAACACTATGACATAACGAGCTAGATGGCGTTTGAGATATATTTTGTCTGATCGAAATGTATGTAAACCTGCGACTCAGTAAGTCTGTTGCTAATTCTGTGGTCAATCGGAATGGTATAATTTGCCTAGTTAGGAGGTAATGCGTGATGATAATACTTCAAAGCTGGACGGCGATTAGTCCGATCTCTCTCGGCATGATCAGTGGAGTACTTGTCTACTGTTGAAGAAAATCGCTTTTTTATATTGAAAATTTAACTAAAGAAGTAATCGCGCTACAAATTTAAAGGGCATTCAACCTGTAACTATTCTTTTTACGATTGGTCTCCGTATATTTTGTTTAAATATAAAATTTTGATGCGGAGTAAACTAAGGGCTCAGTTGTCGTCTCAAGCTGTAGATTAGGATACGAAATACGATGCAACTATATAGCGATCATTCCACCAATGATCAAAGCTAAAAAGTTACCGTGGAATCATTTTCTAAGATACCATGTAGTAGACTGAATATGTCATTGGTAGAGTTGTTACTTTAGAGAGGGACGTATCTCGTATCCTCATACATTAATTCTACTTTTTAGAGTTCCTTTGATTTTGTTTATAAATAGATGGTACAGTAAATTTTTGGAGATTCTCAAAGTATGAGGCATCATGAAACTCTATAATGGTGAAAATCTATGGAGTTTTATCAATAGCCCAAGTTTTTAGCTTTGACTAGAAGCCAGTAAGATTCGAAATTTAATCGAAGAGAAGCGAGTTGGAGATACATGTAAAGACTAAGCCAGTTAAAGGCTTGCTAGCCCAATGCGTTAGTTTTCACTGTCTTATGTTTAAACTTGATAAAGCTGTTTAATTTTTGAAATCCAAAAATTAAAGATATGATTTTTTATCAAATGAAGCTCATACACCATTCGACTTCCGGGGTATCGGGAAAAGTGATTTATAGAGTTTCTGGGTTTCCACAGACATAAAGATCTTTCTGGGGTCTTCAAGTCCTGCTCTACACGCCCGTTTAATAGTCCTTACGAGTGAAAAATGGTTATGAACCAAGGTCCAGAAATATACTGTAGACATTACTAATCGTACGCATCTATAGTTAAACTTACTACTTACACAAAGAGAACGAGTAATCTCACATCCAGTCAACTCCATCCCACAAGTGACTTTTGATGTGCAAGTCAAACTCCAGGTCAACGCCAGCACCGTTGAGAACCTTACCATAGTTGATGTTTGTAGAAACATTACCTCCGAGCTGGTGCAAATCCTGGTGGAGGTGGTCCTTGTCCAGGAAATCCAGGAGGGGGAAATCCACCAAAAGGAGGAGGCCCTTGAGCACTTGTCAGCATTTTTCTTATGAGGATGGCCGAGAAATTACCCCCTCTACCAAATCCTGGTGCGCCCGGGAATCCTGGAGCTCCAAAACCGGTAGGAGCACCCATAGCGACGGGTCCCTATATCTGTTAGCTTCGATTTAAAAGAAAAAGGCATGTTAGTGTTTACAGCAAGCCCGACTGGGGCACCTCTTCCTGCGGGTCGCGCAATTCCCGCACCAGGCGCAAGCGTTGAGGTCGGAGCCCCAGGTGCAGCACCGAGCCGCGCAGCAGGGTCAGCAGGTGGCGGTGATTCTACTGAAAGGGAGATAACATGAGCACCTCGAAGGATAATCAAACCAAGCGCACGTTTCTCCTCGGATTCGACAATTGGTGCAGAATTAGTAGCTGCTCCAGGAGCAGCTGATCCTTTCGCTGCCTTTCGTTTCACCCTTCTAAATTCTTCAGTATCTGCAAGAACAAGATTCATATGCTAGTCATTAATTAGTATTACTTTGCATTAACTTTTAAGCGTAGGTTATTGCCTTGTCGAATGCTAGCATCTGGCCGACAAGCTGACGTCCGTCTTGAAGTGTGACTCTTAATCTCCAATTCACTAAGCCCGCCTAGAAGGCAATAGGAATAAATTAGTTTCAATTAAATTATAGAGGCAAAAGGTTTTTGTATGAGTCTGAACAGACCATTTTTCCTTGTTTGTTGGCCATCTTAGTGATATCCGGACTGGGTGACTTGATTTTAAATTTCTAGAGTTATAAATGTTGAGTTTTAGCTTTGGATTGCTGATTTCCAACAGGTAGCTGTGGCTGATCACGAATTTTTGAGATCAGGCAAGACCTAATTGAGAGGGTTGACGTGTAGTGTCGAATGATTTATTTGCGATGGCTGTAGAAAACGTGAATGGGATAAATGGAAATCAAAGAATATCGAATTACTGCAAGCTTAGGAAGTCCAAAATATGTGTCATTTATGACTAATAAATATTGCCTGACCCATAGACATAAATTTTTCTTTTGACAGTTTGCATCGTTACAATTCCACAGACGTGCAGTATCTTTAGGCAGTCTCGACTTATCTGGAGACTATAGCATGTGTGATCATCCTGATTTCCATTCTATCCCTAATCTGTAGGCTGACGACACAATATCATATTATTTTACGACTTCTGATAAATTCATACCAAGTTGGATCCCAATGACTATTAGGTAGAAAGACTTTAACACACATGGCTATAATTAGGGCTTGCAGCATGTGGGGCTTTAATAATAGTCATTCTTCAGTCATCAGATTTAATTATTCGATATAGTCATGTAAAGACAGATACTTTACCGGACCGAGGTTGTGTGTGTTTTTTTTTAAATTTTAAGTCCTAAGCTTTGCTCTATATCTCCTTGGGGTCAGAGACCGGTGCACACGGCCGAGATCATGCTTCCCACATGCCCGACTCGCTCTCACCGTGTGACCCACTAACCAACAAGTAGCCAGTTGCACGTCGGGTAGTTTATGTAGACTTAGCTGGCCAACACGAGACCTTAGGGTTGTGTTGTAAGCTAGCACGACGTTGAATAATCGTAAAAAAACAAGTAGCTAGTTATGAGAAAGAAAATAAATGCACCTTCAAACTCCCACAACCAAAATTCCAACCCAATAATCCGATTTGTGGTCGGAAAATGAAATTTCTCGTCTCACTTTCCTACCTGTCATGCATTCTGCTATGATCTAATTACTGCCGTATACGCTGAGAGCCGGAGACGGGCTCACAGGCAGGCCTCCGAATCTGCCGGTTTCCCGCGCAAATTTTTGTAAAGTGTTCGTGGCACTTATCTGTGTGTACTTTTTTCATACTTTGGGACTTTAAGCTACCTCACAATTTGTTGTAAATGTACTTATCTGTTTTAGAGCTAGAGATATCAAGAGTATTGCGTGATTGAATTATTGGCTTATCTTTTAAATCTTGAAGATTAAGTAAGTAAATTTATTTTACAAATATTTCAGCGAGTTGTATTTCATGAAGGACTTAACCTTGCACAGAACTATTGGTGCTAGCCCTCAAATGCCACGTTCCGCTGTAATAATTGCAAATAAAGCACGAGCCATGAGTGCTCTAATTGTATATAGAGTCATCTGATATGTACTATCTCTTTGGTTTTAGAAGTTGGCCCACGAGGCAAAAATTCGAATTACTTCACCATGTCAATCTTTCACTCCCAAAGAGTCCGATTCCCAACTAAGCTTCATCAAGTCTACAAGTACGACCAAGTAAATCCTCGTTTCAATGACGACACCTCTCGTCGACTTTCTCTGGCCTCAGCCGGTCACCAAATACACGCCCACGCCAATATTTACAGCCAAAGGAGGAAGCAAAGCGTGGCGCACAAATCTGGGAGATAGCTCTTTGGGATGGACGTGAGAGGGATCAGGACAAGTTTACTAGATGATGCAGAAGAGGGATACGTATTCGACGGGCGTGAAATTTTGAATTTTGGCAAGAGTTTTACGAATTGAGCTTTGTGCGCGCCAAGACTTCGCTTGCGAGAGTGCAGCTGACACTACAAAAACAAGCCGACGATGGAAGGTGTAGTGATCCGCCTCCTGGTGGTTTTCTCTGGTATGGTTTGAGTAGCATGGGCACCTACTCCACTTGGGAAGGAGACATCTCAAATCACATATCGCGCGGAGAAAAGTTGAAAGATGATGGAGGCATGTCTGGATAACTCAGGGTTTTTGAGACGTTCCCCTGGGTGGGTATTCACGGATGAGGGTTGACTTGGGGTGAAGAAAAAGCTACCATAACTTCGCAGTGTTACTTGCAAATGAAATCTGAGGCATGAGTGTTCTTCCTTTACGTTGAATCATCTTTTCTGTACTTTTCTTTGATATTGTGTCATAGCTAGACAGCTGCATAAGCAATTAAAATCTTATGCAAAAAAAAAAATATCTCTTTGATTTGTGACGTGGCTAGCTAAATCCATTTATCATTAGAGTCTACTACCAGAAGTTTTTCGAGAAGAGCTGGTACTATAAATAGATGGATTATTCGTGACCTAACTTATAGACTAGTCTTTGTTTAGGTTAGTGTAGGTCTCGGCTAAGAAAAACACACAAATACAATTTACTGCCCTAACGTTTTAGATATCCGGCACTACATTAACACGACAATTACACCACCGACAAAAGATAAATCAGAGTAAGATGGCCGAGTCAGCAGAGAAGACGCAGAATCCCATGAAGGAGCTTCGTATCCAGAAACTCGTCTTAAACATTTCGGTTGGAGAATCTGGTGACAAACTCACACGAGCAGCCAAGGTACTGGAACAATTAAGTGGACAAACGCCCGTTTACAGTATGGTGCACCGAACCAAATTCTTTGGGTACCTTTGGGTCCTAGTGCTCTAGCTAATATTACCTTCTAGGCAAGGCTCGCTATACCGTTCGCACATTCGGAATCCGTCGAAATGAAAAGATCGCCGTCCATGTTACAGTTCGAGGACCCAAAGCCGAGGAGATTCTAGAACGTGGCCTAAAGGTCAAAGAGTATGAGCTACGCAAACGCAATTTCTCTGAGACAGGAAACTTTGGATTCGGAATCAGCGAACATATCGATCTCGGAATCAAGTATGACCCCGCGATCGGTATTTACGGAATGGATTTCTACGCTTGCATGTTAGTATTTAAACATCAAATATAACTGAATACTTATCTGAGGACTTTATAGGACTCGGCCTGGAGAGCGCGTTGCCAAGCGCCGACGAGCTCAGACTCACATTGGAGCAGGCCACAGGATTAAACGTGAAGAATCAATAAAATGGTTCAAAAATCGGTTCGAGGTAAAATAGCCTCAATCGATTATGCTAACACCATCTCTAACATTTGCCTAGGGAATTGTAAGATGACCGAAATAGGGAATAAACAGGTTTAATATAGATGGAGATAACTGTTTGGTAACTCAAACTCTACAAATATCATTATCAAAAATAATCTTCTGTTCTTAAGAATAGTAACGGCCATAGAGACCGACCGGCATGCCGGCTTAACACTTGTGTCTTTTCATGACTCTTAACTGGATTCTACCCTATCCTGCACAGAAAACTTTAAGTGAACAGGCTGAATCCTGAGACTTAAAGAAACTCTGGTAAGTAATCAAAAATATACCGGGAAAAATTACGCTGTGACAATGCCATGGAGACATAATTCTCAACATCCGTCATTTTTAGTTAACGCTACATGACAAAATAGATACATCTCGCCCTTCTTTGTGTATATGGGAAGAAATGCATGAATTTATTCAAGTAATATCCATCCAGCAACTGTTTGACCACTCAAGTGAATCAGTATTATCATGGCGGAAAATAATAGTGAATTTAAAGAAAAAAAATATACACACTAGGGTTAAATCTATGCAATTATCCAACTTTCATAGAATATTTCATCCAACTGACATTTCTTTTTTTTTTAAAATCATTTAATGTGTGTTCAGCTATTTAGCTATGACACATTACCGGCGCTATGTATACACGCGGGATGACTCATTTGACGTTAGAGACACTCATACTCTGGATTTCATTTGCAAATACCACTATGAGGTATGTTCGCTTACACAAACAGTCGACCCTCCTACGTTAGTACCCACCAAAGGGAATTTCAAAACCTTTGGTTATCCAAGCATGCCTTCTTCATCCATGCACACCAGCGCCGCGAGAAAAGTGGGTGTGTTTTGCCGGATATGAACCAGCGATCTACTGTCTCGAGTGGGATATGTGTTCAAGCTATCCACACTTTACTTAGCAGACCGGCCAAGACGACGAATCACCGCATCATCTAACCATGGCGGTGATTAAAGTGTCGCCTGCACTCTCGCAACCGAAGCCTTGGCACGCACAAAGCTCCATTTGTGAAACCCTTGCCTAAATTTGAAATTTCACGCCCGTCGAGACTGTATCCATCCTTTGCTTCATCTTGTCAACTTGTCCTGATCCCTCTCACGTCCGTCCCAAAGAGCTATCTCCCAGATTTGTGCGCCACGCTTTACTTCCTCCGTCGGGTATAAATATCGGCATGGGCGTGTATTTGGCGGTCAACTGAAGCCAGAGAAGGTCGAAGAGCGGTGTGTTTATTGAGATGAGTATGTACTTAGTCGTACTTGTAGACTTGATGAGACGAATATAGGAGTCAAACTCGTTGGGAGCGAAATAACGACGTGGTGGAGTAACTTGGATTTTTGCCTCGTGGGCCAACTTCTTTGATAGTGCGGAATTTGACTGAACTTGGCTCTGTGAGAATATATCACTCCAAGGTTCGTAGAGGATACCGAGAACAGGTGTTCAGTCACGCCCTCCTCCAACAGACATTGTTTGCCTTCCACTATTTAATCAAATAACCATCTTCTCAACTAAAAACTGGTAAGGGCCAAAAGAGGCCAAGCAATTCTGAATCCAAGGCGAGCACATCTCTCTCAACTCGTGTTCTTACAGAAGAAACGTACCATGAGTCTACAGTCCGCATTGTCCGTGTGACTACCAATTCAAAGCATATGATCACGCCCTGCCCTAGGTAGCCAAATTGTAGAAAAGAGATGAGGAAAAGTGCCTTCATAACAATAGCAAATAATTATAATTGAATTAAATGATTCACGCAGTGGATCCTCAATAACGGTTCGATCTAAAAATTCCGTATGATAGAGGCAGTTCAATTCCTGCTCCGGAAACGAGACAGGACGGGCACATAATTTGGACCAACACAGAAGATGCTAGTGGTAAATATGAAGTTTCTTGTGAACGTTAGAAAGAATAAAATGATAAATGTTGACTTTGAAATTCACGGATGTCTCGTGGCTCCGACTACGACAATCTATATGTGTGTAGAGCTTGAGACTAGTGTAAACTTGGATTTATATTAACGTTCTAACTCCTTAAATACATGAAATACCCTATACTTCAGATAACGTAATGATAGATAATACATGGCAAAGTAAACTATCAGGATACAGGAGGTGAGGAGTGAGGTGCTTAGCCGCCCGTATTGCGACCAAAGAATGCGAGGGGTGCATTCTTGATGGAACCTTGTTCTCGGCGTCTCGCCTAAACTCGGAGCTCAGAGGCTCGCTTGCTGTAAGACTTCGTGTTTCGCTCGAACTTTGAATTCAAAATCTTCATATATGGACGGCATTGCAGTGTAATTGTTAGACTTCAGAGACAGATCGTAAATTACAAAAGAGAACCAAAAAGCTGGTGAGGTTTTCACAGAGAAATTTTCAATGTAAATACAAAGATAAATTTGTAGTCGCCTGGCTGGGTCCGCAGGTTACTAAGTCAGGCTGAACGAATTAGATTAGATTTGTATTGTCCTAACTGAGTCAAAGACTATTGAGGACCCCTAGAATCTACAAATAAGATACTAGCTACACATTTAGAGTTTCAACTGCTAAACTTTACACTTTGCTCTCATGGATAGTGAGGGACAAGCCCTGTAAATTGGGATGACTGGTTTAAAGCATAATCGAGGTGCCACAGAGAAGAACTCCGGGCTCATAACCTGTTATCAGGCTGAATGAAATCAAATTAAAAAACTACTTTCTCTTTATGGTTGTAAGGTTAATTACGAGGAGGGCAAGACTGAACACCTGTCAGTGGTGCTCTCTACGAACCTGGGAGTGAAATATTCTCCCAGAGCCAAGTTCAGTCAAATTTCGCAATATCAAAGAAGTTGGCCCACGAGGCGAAAATTCAAATTACTACACCATGTCAATCTTTCACTCCCAAAGAGTCCGATTCTCAACTAAGCTTCATCAAGTCTACAAGTACAACCAAGTACATCCTCGTTTCAATGACCACACCTCTCGTCGACTTTCTCTGGCCTCAGCCGGTCACCAAATACACGCCCACGCCGATATTTACACCCGACGGAGGAAGCAAAGCGTGGAGCACAATTTTGGGAAATAGCTCTTTGAGACGGACGTGAGAGGGATCAGGACAAGTTTACAAGATGATGCAGAAGAGGGATACATTCTCGACGGGCGTGAAATTTCGAATTTTGGAAAGAGTTTTACGAATTGAGCTTTGTGTGCGCCAAGACTTCGATTGCGAGAGTGCAGCTGACACTATAAACACAAGCCAACGATGGAAGGTACCGTGGTCCGCCTCCTGGTGGTGTTCTCTGGTATGGTTTGAGTAGCATGGGCACCTACTCCACCTGGGAAGGAGACATCTCAGATTAAATTTCGCGCGGAGAAAAGTTGATGGATGACATAGGCATGTCTGGATAACTCAGGGTTTTTGAGACGTTCCCCTTGTTGTAATTAAGGGAGTAACATGACTGCATTACAATAAACAGTTCACATTAGAATAATGTGCACATGCGCCATGGGATATGATTGACCTAAATCATCACTCATTGGTATGACATAGTATTTCCCAACAGATTCCTAATGGTATCTATTAACGCTGGGATCTCTCACATCCTTCCTTTCTCGGTTAGACAAGGACAGATGTTGGAACATTCACTAGTGTGCAGAACCCCCTTATTCATGTATATAGAAGAAGGTCCTGTCACGTAGATAACTTAAGCAATTCATACAATAGGAAATTATAATAATCTCCATATTATTTACACACTTGAGAATACTAGGGAATATCTTCAAGTTCGTCCACTGATCCAAGTCCTAAGAGTATAACTCACGAACTTTACTTCTCTTAAAGCCATAGCTACCTCCTTCCATACCTTCATCCTAACGGTACGTCATTCCAGCTCAGCATAGCCTTTCAATACCCCTGGGTGGGTATTCACGGATGAGGGTTGACTTCGGGTGAATAAAAAGCCAGCATAACTTCGTAGTGTTACTTGCAAATGAAATCTAAGGCATAAGTGCTCTTCCTTTACGTTGAATCATCTATTCTGTACTTTTCTTTGATATTGTGTCATAGCTAGATAGCTACGTACGCAATTAAAATCTGATGCAAAAAAAACACAAAAAGAAATTCAATGATATCTGAAATGCACTGGCTAGGAAATTCTACTGTGCGATAATTGAGGGGCTGGTTTTTGCAAGATTACTGGGAGTTCGGGATCACTAAAGCCTCGGTGATCTGTAATTAAGGATAGACTTATTTGAATAGGATTAACTAAGTTGGCGGAACACAAGATATTGTTAATTGATTTTGACTAGAGAGTTCGATATCCTATACAACCATCAATAAATTCTTGTCCGAAATTGAACACTTGTTCTACGAGATATTTCCTCGTAGAAATCCTGGAAATTTTCTAACAGATCATGCGGTACCAAACGCTATAACGGTGGTCAGGGAAAGCCCTCGTTAGATTACAACATGCGCTACCCACTGGAGGGTGAACAAAAAGCCCCGGAAAGCAAAAGACCCTTTCGCCCCCAAGAAAAGCAGATTTTGACTCGTCTGTAATATCGTCCCTACTAATCTTAACTTCCGGAAATACTAGCCAGGAGAGTGTCTGAAATACATGAGTTACTCGACGACCCCACATCCGTAACGACTTTTGGATGCTAGGCTAGGCTCCTTCACGACAGTCACTCTCGACCGTGACTTTTCTGACATCTTTTCACGACCTTCGGTTTTCACTGCGACATGAATCAGATAAGGAGTAAGGAGAAGGCTAGGATGGTTGAGAGACACTCTGAGGTATACACAGATTTGCTGCGCCCGGCTGGCCGGCCTCATAGTCATAGGAGGGCCCCGCGCCCAGTGGTTTTTGAGATTTTTCCCTACAGCTACACACCCGCAAATGGCCATCGTTTCGTTGGCTGGAGAGGGAAGATAATGACGGGATAACGGCTCCTCTTAGTGTGTACTCGGATGAAGACCTGTGGGGTAATTACTGCTAGAAAGAAGTGGTGAAGGAGGTAGAGATACTCCCGGCCTGTGGGCAGGAAGGACCTACATGTCCTAACACAGCCATAGAATTCATAGAACAATAAACAAACACACGGCTGGCAAAGACGAATTATTTACCTTACAGTGGTGCCGGTGTAATCGCTCAGTATGCTCTGCATATCTGGGATAGCCAAGAAGAATCGTATCCGAATCGAAGTTGAAAGGAAACACGGACACATGTATCAATAGCGACTTCTCATTAATGTCGGTCTTGTCATTCTCAAGAGAGTCCTCCACCTTAACCTCTCCACACACCACCTCGCCCCAACGACGGGCAAATGCGTCACTCCAATTGCAAACAGCTTGCCTCATTTGTTACCGACCACCACACACTACAAATTTACGATGCTACGTATATCCGCAAGGAGGAAATTAAGTCATGATCTACAAAGTTGACATCCTGGTTTTTGGGGGACTGATGCTCTAATGGGGCTGTATATCTTGAGGAAGGACAGGTAGCTGAGATGTAGAGCGGTGGGGGTAACAGGTCTCTGAAGACCAAGCTAAGTCTGACATTTTCGAGGAGTTTTCAACTTTGGATTGTTTGTGGGCGCCATGACCAAGATTTCGGCAAATTAGCCAGCAGGACTTCTTTTGTCGATGAGTCAACGGCACTCCCCACCGCTCTGGACGGTACAAAAGAGGTTGGGCTAAACTACCAAACAGCAATCACGCTCTGTCAAGACTTTTCTGACATTTCATCACGACCTTCGGGGTGGAGTTGGAAGGAGGCTAGAAAGGCAGAGTGTGAATCACCGACGTTCCCACAAGTCTACAGCACCCAGCGAGCTGGCCTCTTCGAATGCTTTAGAAGGATCACTATGTCTTCGCATTTAGTCTTACGTCGGTATTAGAAGAGCCCCGTACTCAGTAGCTTTTGCAATTTTTCCCGGCTGCCATACACCCGCAAATGGCCATTGTTTCGTTGGCTGGAGAGGGGAGATAATGAAGGGCCAAGGGCTCCCCTATGTGTATAAGCGAATGAGGGCTTGTGACGGGTGGTAGTATTCGAGGGGAGATGTATGGGAGGCATAGGAGGGGACATACTACTGGTATAGGTATCCTTGGCCTGTAGGCAGAGAGGACCTGCATGTCCTACACAATCATAGGCTCAGACAGGACAACAAAATGAAATAATATTAAACAATAATACAATGACACTGATCGGAAACCGGCTGGATAAATGGTGCCTGCGAGGTCATCTTCTGCACTCAGTGAAGGTCAGAAATTGTCACTTGAAAGATATGACAGAATAGGGAACGGGCGAGAAGTGCGGGATCTGGGCCTAATTGGGATTTCTTCTAAATTTGATTTTAGTTTTGCTGTTAACACCATCATTTATGTGGAAGCTCATGCGGTTGGGATGCGTTGGGCCTGTATACAGTGATCCTTACCGGCTCCAACGGTTCTGTATCAATAGTAGGATGTAGAGCTTTTTACTTTAGCTCAGGACTTCAAAAATTCAACAAAAACAACAACAACAATGACACTGACCCTAGTCTAATGACTGGTCCTAATGTGATAATCTGCCAAGAGATCCCAGATTTATGCATGGCAGTATTTCATGCAAGTCCAAGAACATGGACTTGAGGGCAACCCATAACTGCAATATCATAGATTCGTAATGGAATGGCAATACTGGAAAGTGTTGTAACTATGATATGTATATCCAGGTCGCGTATATTATGAGATGTATCTCCTGACAGTAGGAAAAAGAATAAGTCAAGCTAAAATACAAGCGCTCTTCAATTAACACAAGTCTTTTCGATATCTACGTTGGTGAGCTACGAACACACATAGCATCCTTCCAGCGCAGAGGTCCAACCCGCATGTGCTCATAATCTTAACACCCAAACCCTCCCATTTCTCACAGATCCTATAGAATTGACTTCATGGTCAACGTCCGTCTCTGTTATTCCAATAGTACCTCGACGACTCTAGGGTTGAGCCCGGCAGGGAGCGGCCAAATCCATCGTGGTGCATGCGTACATGGTTGAGTGAGGGTGTGTCTTTCTAATTTTCAGGATTCCGGGTATGGCGAGGCAATTAGATCCTCAACCAATGAAATGTCTGATGTAGTGGATTCTGAAGGTGGAATATCGATAACAAATATAATATGAAAAGAAAAACTAATCTATATCAGAAAGTCTGAAATTACAGCTCGGTGTGGTCTGTGCAGCGGGTGCCTGGATCCACAAGGGCTGAAGCCTCCTCACGGCCGGTACTCACGGAGGAGGGTCGACGGTTCGGCGCGAGCAGACATGGCTGCAAGAGGCGTTTGCGAGCGACGTGCAGAGTGTGGGTATCTGAAGTCAAAAGAGTCATGTTGCGGGTGAGATGGATGCACTGATCACACTAACACTTCATTATCATCCGTGTAGTGCAGTACGTCGGGCCAAGGGAAGCGGATTAGTGATAATTACATGTTCCCATCGCAACCCTCACCCAAGACTAGATTAGATTCATTGTAGTCCCATCCGAGGCTATGACTATGGAAGACGCCTAGAATCGACATGGAGCTACCTAGATTTAATCGATTTAGCCATGCTAACTTTTCTTTTGTCTCCAAGTCTAGTTGCGGCGCTGTCGGGGGAGGGGGGTATGCGGGATTGGGCAGCCATGCAAATATACCTGCCACTCACACAAGACAAACCGCTACAGGGCGACCGTTGCATCACCTACCCGTTACTGCCACATGGCCCGAGTGTATCATGTCCATTTTATTGAAGACGCGAAATCTATACTACCACATACACCACCTCCCCGGACCGCCACACATAGCACTGATCTTGCATCGTGCCTAGATAGCTGCGTCGGCATTGTATCAAGTTGTCAAGATGTGTGGGACAGTCTGGCCTTCCCCGCATGCCATATAGTGGAAGCAATGGCGATTACAAGCTGACGCAAAAAAATAGTGGATGATCCCCGCACTGGCCGCGGAGGTGCAGCCGTACTCCGCGCGGACGCCGGGGTCTCCTTGACCGTCGACGGCCCCTGTGAAGTCGGACTGACGTGACTTTACTCCGCGCCATACTTGTGCAATTAGACGTGGACAGGCATTGGAATCCCCACCACAAGGCCCACCCGTGTATAGAGGTTCACTATGTCATGTTGGCACGCCGGACCCGCAGAGGTAGGCGCGTATGAGCTCCGAAGCACAACAGCTTTGTAGTCGCTAGAGTCATTCAGTATTTACACAATATATCCATCATGTCCCAAGGCTGCATAGCTTTGCATAATACAAATTCAAGAGCATAGACGCCAGCTGCTCTACCTAACGTGTTGATAAGCGGAGATGAAATAGGGCATAGTCAGAAACCCCCAGCCAAACCTAGGCTATTCTACCCGAACATAAAATTAAACCCTTCCTTACTATATTCAAAGTACAAGGTATCCATCATACAATAACCTTCCACTCAAATCGTGACTCGTCAAAGGCCACCCAGTCACGAGGACAAGTTAATCACACTTGTCAGAAATCGTAATGGGACGGGTATAACCTGCATGCGAACAATCTAGCGTCCCGGCGCAGAGGCAACTATGCGAAGACTTGTGTGTTCAGAATTGAAGATATGCGCCGAAGAGATACCAAATGCTGCTCTAGGTACCAATGAAAAATGGCCTGTGGTGGTTGTAGAGGACGTTGAGATTACTGGGCTGCAGCTGGATGAAGCGATAAAGAGCAGACTCTTCGTATAGGTTCTTGGGAAAGATCTTACGAGAAAACGCTTGTCTCATTGTACTGTAGGACAATTACAATGCATACACCTACCACAAAATTTTGATCCGTGATGAGTGAACTGAGGGATTGTGATCGTATTTCCAACCATAGATTTTTATTAGATTTAGAGAGAGGGTAACAGATATATTATAAAGAGTTTAAGTACATTTCAATACCAAGAGGCAACTGTCGCATTTTGCGTGAATATAATTTGGCCCTTAAAAATTAAGTTTAACTGGTAATGCCAGTGTATGGCATCGGCCGCCCACTCTGATCCTAGGAAAACCAGCCGACCTTAAGCCTCCGAACCTATCAAAAAATTATCGCTTCCTTTAGATGATTCTACCTTATTATTTAAATTCTGGTCTGGAATCATATCTTGCACAGAATACCCTGGTTTACTTGTTGTTATTTTTACTTGCTTCTTTACGTTACCTGTAGCCTTTTTTTTCTTTTCTAAACGTGGCCATTGGGAGTTTTTTATATTACCCCGCTTAGGAGAAGATTTTACCAGCTGTGCTTCCTGTAGTGATGGAAATTTTGAAGTATCATCTAGTTCTAAGTTTATTTTGTGTTCTTCTAGAGAATTAGGCTGTGACTCATGATCCGATCTTTCTTCTTCCTTGTTACTTTCTAATGATGCAGAACTTGCACCACTCCTATCCACCTCCGGTAAAGGTTTAGTTTTCGGAGAGATGGATTTGGAATCTTGGGTTTGTATCTTCACATCGTCACTCAGGTTTGGTGAAGCTGATCTCCATACAGGACTTTCTGAGTTTATATCATCATTCCGTTGTGATGATCTAGATCTAGATCTTCCCCTATTAACATCTGGTAACTTCTTGGAATTTGGAGATGTAGAACCTGAATATTGGTCTCCCTCCTCTGCATGGTTCGGGTTTAGAGATAATGGTCCAAGTGTGGGGCTTTCTGCGTTTACGTTATCATTCCGTGGTGATGATCTGGATCTAGCTCTTCCACGTCCAATCTCCGGCAAATGTTTAGTATTTGGAGAGATGGACCTAGAGTCTTGGTTTTGTACCTTTTCATCATGACTCAGGTTTGATGAGGCCGATCTCCATGTAGGGCTTTCTCTATTTCTATTTTCAGTTTGATATGATGATCTAGATCTAGATCGACCGCGTCCAATCTCCGGCGACCCCTGACGAATTGGAGGAGCGGATCTTGAACTTTGCACCGGGCTCCCAATCGCTTGATTCAAGTCTGGAGATACAGGCATGGGATTAGGATAACCCGAAAGATCCCTGTAACTTCCTTTTGTCAATATAGATATTGGTCTATCTAACTTTAATTCAGAGCTAGACTGCGGCGAAAATTTGCTCTTAGATTTCCTGTCTGAATACATATATGGTGTGCGGAATCTCGCTTTGCTGAATCCTGTGTCTTTCTGGTCGGGTTCGTTACCTGCAGCCTTTTTTTTCCTTTCCAAACGTGGCCATTGGGAGTTTTTTATATTACCCCGCTTAGGGGAAGACTTCGACAGCTGGACTTCTTGTAATGATGGAAATTTTAAAGTATCATCTAGTTCTAGGTTTATTTTGTGTTCTTCTTCTAGAGAATTATGCTGTGACTCATGATCCGATCTTTCTTCTTCCTTGTTGCTTTCTAATGATGCAGAACTTGCACCACTCCTATCCACCTCCGGTAAAGGTTTAGTTTTCGGAGAGATGGATTTGGAATCTTGGGTTTGTATCTTCACATCGTCACTCAGGTTTGGTGAAGCTGATCTCCACACGGGGCTTTCTAAGTTTATATCATCATTCCGTTGTGATGATCTAGATCTAGCTCGTCCACGATTTAGCTCCGGCAAATGTTTAGTATTCGGAGAGATGGATCTCGAGTCTTGGGTTTGTATCTTTTCATCGTCACTCAGGTTTGGTGAAGCTGATCTCCACACGGGGCTTTCTGAGTTTATATCATCATTCCGTTGTGATGATCTAGATCTAGATCTTCCCCTATTAACATCTGGTAACTTCTTGGAATTTGGAGATGTAGAGCCTGAATATTGGTCTCCCTTCTCTGCATGGTTCGGGTTTAGAGATAATGGTCCAAGTGTGGGGCTTTCTGCGTTTACGTTATCATTCCGTGGTGATGATCTAGATCTAGATCGACCGCGTCCAATCTCCGGCGACCCCTGACGATTCGGAGAAGCGGATCTTGAACTTTGCACCGGGTTCCCAATCGCTTGATTCAAGTCTGGAGATACAGCCATGGTGTTAGGGTACACCAAAATGTCTTTGTCGTCTCTATCTGCTGACATTGGTATTGATTTACTCGGTTCCAAATTTTGTTTTGAATCCGGTAGTAATTCTTTACTAGGTATGATACTTGAGACAATTTTGTCGTTATCATCATTATGAATGGGATGAGAACTTGATGAGGTGGTTTCATCCAATTGATTAGAATTACTTGTTTTGGATAAAATTTTGACAGGATGCATTTCATCCTTTGGTGGATTGGTCTTTTTCGGATAATACAAAGGATTATTCTTTCGCTTGCTATTTTCCCATTCCCTCTGAAATTTAATTCTTTCAAATTCTGCTACGTCAGGGAGCAAGAGGTCAGGTCTTGGATTATACATGGCAACCTTTGAAATCATTCGTTTTAGGTTTAACGGAAGACATTCATTAAAATACATATGGTTCCAATTACCACCTGTAAAGTAGATTATTGTAATAAACCGAAAGTCCAAGTCCATGATGACGTAATCTTTGTATAAATTTTCATCTAAAGAACATTAAGCCTTATTTTAACACTACAGAAGGGATTAGCAAACCAGAAGGGGGAATATCTGAGCCGGGAGCTATCGGTTGGATTCTAAAAGGTCCCTTTTTTAGAAACCCATTAATATATTTCTTGACCGGGTACCATTTAATGCGACGCTCTCTTTTATATTTCTTTCGTGTTTCAAAAATAGCCTTGGCGAATGTTATGACTTGATCAATATGTTTTTGATTATATTGGTGGGTAGGAGAGCAATAGTAGTCTATAAAATCCATGTGTTTGACAGGGACATTCCTGAACACAGTTGGGTCAAATACGGCTATGAATTTAAAGTCATTCATCACGAAATGGATCGCTGTAGAGTGAGTGGCGCAGAGTAAGGCAATTACTGTAGACAAAAGGCGGATCTTCATCGTGATTATCTATTTCTCGGGTGTATCATTTGGTTTCGAAGTTTTAGTTTAGGACTCTGACATTTAGTCCATCTCGTCTCACGGGCTGAGGAAACTTATCTCGCCGTAAAATTGATGAAGAATCACAGGTCGTGTTAGTCGAACTCAAGATAAACCCGCCATCACGATGCGAGCGCGCCTGCTTTTTATTTGCCGCCGCTCTCTTATCTTGGCGCCTATGTTTAGACAAATTCAAAGGAAGATACACCTCTATGTCTGCTTTCGCGAAAACATGGCGAAGCTTAACAGTAGATGGGAGCCTTGATTCGGAATCCTCATTCAGGATCGTCCTACATTGGCAGAAAATCAGTTAGTTTCTCGGCATCGCGATGGTTTTTGAACCTATGCCTGGCAACCGGTATTGTTCGGCTCCTCGGTGACTAGTTTCTGAGACACTGATGTAAGCCTTGCTATTTCCGTACGACGAGCTTGAAGGCACAGGCTATGGGTTAACAAGTAACAAAGGATGAAGGAATGATACTGGTTGTTGCTGATTTTGGTTGGAAAGATCCATATGGATGAGGGTGCCTGTATCTAGAGATTAATTTAGCTAAAAGTGATGGATTTAGAGTCGTGAGATTTATTCTAGTAGATGAACAAATACTAATTCAAAGAAAAGTTAGATAATCCCTTCCTTCCACAATGCAAAAATATACTCTTTAGTAAACTTTAACCTTATGAAGTGCACCATGTCTAAGATTTGTTGAATCTCATCTGCCACGAGTCGGCTTGTCACTGGCCCCATCGCGGGTCCCCGCAATACAGGGATTACCGAGGAGATCAGTTGTCAGCTCGTGCAGCGGTTTACAGCTACTTGGTTTTGGATGAAAATAATTACCGGTCCTTATCAAGTAATGGATTCCGTGAAGCAAATAGACAACAAACTAAGAGACCAAGCTAGAAAGCGGTTTTAACCTTATCACGCGATTATTGTATGTGAGATGCCTCTATACAGAGGCACAATTGAGCACCGCACTTTGAAAATTTGTGGGCCAGGAATAGTTGAAGTCTTTCCAGCTGCTAATTTGATACTTGACTAATGTCTTGTGTTAATGTCAATTACTATGTCCAGAAACACCCATACCCAGAGTCATTCGAATATAGCTCCGAGATTTGCTCATTTACACTTCAGAAACTAAACCTACTCCCTGAATGCCGAAAATAGAGGAGTATCAAGCCCTTTGGACATCCAGGTATATCTATGTTCTGTCGAAAATTAAGGTTCCCGCTGTCAGGGTCTACACTTTTTATTTTCTTATGGCATTCCCGACAGGGATCAATGCCGAGGTATCGTTATCTAGCCTACCTAAGCCGTAGACAGGAGGTTCTGGTTGAGGGATATTGACATCGCAGAATTTGAAGTGGCTCGGGCATGAGTACTTGTCAACAAAGACATAAGCTCAAGCATGGATATTACGACCACAGGTAAGTGGTTGAGAGCTATCACCATGGAGTTGATGAAATCAGTCCGTATGAATTTTACTTTTACAAACACGCACTTAAACAGTCTTTTAGTCATTTAACGTATTTTCAGCTATCTAGCTATGACACAAGATCAGTGCTATGTATGTACGTTGGATGACTCTTTTGGCGTTAGAGACACTCATAGTCTGGATTTCATTCACAAATACCACCATGAGGTCTAATTGCTTACACAAAATATCGAACTTCCTCCACAAGTACCCACCAAAGGGACGTTTCAAAACCTTTGATTATCCAAGCATGCCTTCGTGATCCATATATATCAGCACCGCGAAAAATGTGGGTGTGTTTTGCCGAATGTGAACCAGCGATCTATTGTCTCGAGTGTAACATACGTCCAAGCTATCCAGACTCCAATTGGAATACTGACCAAGACGATGTACCACTGCACCATCTAGCCACGGCGATGTTCATAGTGTTGCCTATCCTCTTGCAACCGAAGACTTTACACGCACAAAGCTCAATCGTAAATTTCTGTCACAAATCAGAATGACACCCGTTGAGAATGAATCCATCCTTTGCATCGTTTCGTAAACTTCTCCTGATCTTTCTCACGCCTATTCAAAAGAACTATCTCCCGGATTTGTGCGCCACGCTTTGCTTCCTCCGTCGGGTGTAAATATCGGCGTGAGCGTGTATTTGGTGACCAGCTGAGGCCAGAGAAAGTTGACAAAAGGTGTGATCATTAGAATGAGGATGTAATAGGTCGTACTCGTAGACTTGATGAGGCTGAGGTATGATTCAGACTCTATGAGAGCGAAAAATTGACGTGATAGAGTATTTTGAGTCACTGCCTCGTGAGCCAACTTCTTGAGCAATGCGAAATTTGACTGAACTTGAGTCTGGGAAAATTTTTCACTCCGAGGTTCGTAGAGGACACCGCGGACAGCTTTTCAGACTTTGTCCTTCACCCAAACGCACGAATACCATGAAAATTGTTATTCAGCTTTGCTTAGATATAACCAGTCTCCTGGTATTCTCTGGTATGGTTAGAGTAGCCTGGGAACCCAAGCCACTTGAGGAGACACCGAAGACCACATTTCGCGCGGAGAAGATTCAGTGGATGTCAAGCTCGAGGGTGCCATAGGTAGCGTCTGGAGGGTTACTGAGCGACTTGGGCAATATCTGAGGTTGGCAAGAGTCAAAGGTATAAATTTGTAATTGTAACTAGAACTAAGGACGAGGGACGGGGGAATCTAGGATCAGAGACAAGGCCAGTGGAAGACGGAAGACAAGACGTGGCCCTCAAGTAAGGCTCTGTCCAATCCATATATACATCATAGTAACCAGAGCAACCTAGGCCTCATAGGGTACACCTTCTACTACTCAATTACTCAGTTAGTAACCCGTGGCAACCATTGTAACCCATTAACTTTTGTCCTCAATTCCTGACAGTAGATGATGAGAGAATATCTGGATATCTAAGGGTTTTTGAGTCGTTTTCCTGGGTGGGTATTCACGGATGAGGGTTAAGTTGGGTTGAAGAAAAAGTCAACATAACTTCACAGTGGTAATTGCAATTAAAATCTGAGGCATGAGTGCTCTTCCTTAACATTGAGTCATCTATTGTGTAATTTTCTTTGATATTGTGTCATAGCTAGACATTCGCATACGCAATTAAATTCTAATGCAGAAAATAAGAAAAAACTTTTATCACGCTCATGTTCAGAATCTACCAACGAAAATATGTGCGCGATTAATGAAGTCCTCTTGCAAGTAGTTAAGTTGTCGTGAGCGTTACCAGATCTATTTACGTTGTTCGTCGGCAGAAGAGGTCAATGATAAATTCAGTCACAGAATGAATTAAAGGGAAATGTGTCGATTAATTGCTTGATCTTTACGCACAGAATTCTAATTACTAACGCTAATCACCACTGGCTAGGTTTCCACGCAGTCGTATCCAAACCACTGCCATCGGATATCTCTCGCCATCATATCACGATTCTAAATGGATTCAAAAGGAGGAAAATAAGGTTTGAGATACAAAAGTCATATTTTGGCCCGTGGGGAAATCTACTCCGATGAGGCTCTACATCTTGGATGTTTATCGACATTGAACTTGATCGTCGACAGTTTCCGGGCTTATTACTTATCGACATTAAAGTTTGTTGTCGACATTGTAGATGTATGTCTGTTATCACAGACATTGGAAATAATTCATGAGATTGCTTAATGAGAGGCTAGATTTGATTCCGATATAATATTGTAGAAGACTTGTCCCAACTATCAGAGGGCTACAACGTCTTTATCTATCTACAGGTAAATTCCCCATATTCCAACCACGCTAGCCATACAGGACGTAGCATTTAAACCCTGATTCGTATCATCAGTTTGGGGTTGAAGTTTACCGTGCATGTGCTACTCGAGTCGCATGTCTGACTACTATGCGACACGCTTAGGTATCAATCTAAAAACCCACACCAAAACCGAAACTACTCACAACCCTGATGATGACCCCATGAATAATTGTAATAGTAGCCTGCAACATAGCACAATTAGGCTAGACATCGTTGACCAGGACCTAATCCGAACAGATGTGGTTGGCAACTAAGATTGTGATAGAGAGTGGGAAAAAAGTTTTCATTATCATATTACGACAAAAAGTTTTGTCGAGAGTGTTCGGGAGGGCTTTTTGTGGGCGCAAAGGCTACAGTTCCGGGTAATAAGCCCGGAGGATTATGTTATCAGTCAGTCTACGGCACACCAAAGTTCGCCTAAGCTACTTTACAGCAAACACACCCAGCCAAGAATTTAAGTTTAAAATCTGTAAAGTGATAGGACGGATCCAACATATATTTAGATGTGACACGGGTAGTTGAGTCCCAAGAGCTCATTGCTACCATCTGACCGGCAGTTACGGCAAAGACGAATTCTTCACCTTCCAGTGGTGCCAGTATAATCGCTCAGTATGCTCTGCATATCTAGGATAGCCAAAAAGAATCGCATTCGAATCAAAGTCGAAAGCAAATACGTCCATATCTCTATTTGACGACTTCTCAATCATGCAGCACTCACCATTATCTTCCGAGTCCTCGACCTATTTTAACCACGCATTGTCTCGCCTCAACGACCGATAAAGACTTCACCCCAATTCCAAACAGGAGATTGCCTTATTCATTGCCAGCTATCACTCTCTACAAATTTACGACGTTACGTATACTTGCATGGAGGAAATTAAGTCATAATATACAAAGTTGGCGGCTTAGTTTATGGGGGACTGATGCTCTAACGGGGTTATACATCTTGAGGAAGAACAAGCGGCTGAGATGTGGAGCGAGAGGGGAAAGAAGTCTCTGAAGACCATGCTGGGACTGACATTTTCGAGGAGTTTTCAACTTTGGATTTTTTGTGGGCTTCAAGACCAAGATTTCGGCAAATTAGCCAGCAGGACTTCTCTTGTCGATGATTCGACAGCACAAAAGGAGTTGGGCTAAGCTACTATATATAAATCACGCTCTGTCAAGACTTTTCTGACATTT